CTGTATTAAAAGATTAGGAGGGAGATTTTGAATCACATGCCTTATTTTTTTTTTAAGGTTTACAATACTTTCCTACAATAATATGCTGTATAGTTGCAGTCTTAAGACTTTTTGTTTTCGTGGAATCCATTATATGTTAAGATATGTCTTTCAAATTCAAACTTTTGGAGAGTACGGCGCGACTCACCTTTGCAATGACCATCAATAAAACACAAGGACRATCGCCAGAAGTGTGTGGATTGAATTTAGAAAATCCACGTTTCTCACATGGACAGCTATATGTGGGATGTTCATTTGTCAGAAAACCTTTTGATTTATTTGTGTACGTATCAGAAGGAAGAACAAAAAATATTTTGTATCCAAATACTCGAATAGTCAGACTTTTCTCGATACAACAAATAAATGTACATAATGATATACTAAATTGAATATCGTTATAAAATTATTACTTRATATATTTTAATCGTTATCTATCTATATGTATAAAAATATAAAAAATATACTGCTAGCATAATCACAGGAAACAAATTTAACCCACAGTTTGAGCCATAAAAGAGGTAGGATTTTTAACAGGCTACGAAGTGCATGGATTCAGATAGTATAATATAAACCTCGATATAAACACATAGGTAGGCATTGTTGGTTTCATAACAAACATAAACAAGAACATATAAAATWGTAGTTTATGTTAATAAGTTATTAACTTATCTTTACTATAACTCTACAACTTAACTTACTCTAGGCGTATTATTTCGTGTTTACAACCGATAATCGCAATAGAGTGGCGTTGCCTATAGGACATGAATTACATTACAAAATCTTTTTAGTTTTAGTGTATGATGTTCCACGACCCACGGGTAATGGATATTCAGCATTGTTTGTATCTAACCTAACCTAACCTGTTCATATCTTTGGAGTAAAAACAAAATTCTATATTAAATTATTGTAAGTAGGTATTTATATTTTTAATGACTCGCATATTATCAATCTTATAGTTTAGTGTACCTATTTAAATTTAAATTTATAAAAAAAGTTGTATATCAATTTAGAAAACATTTTTAATTAGTAATACAATTTTAGAACCACATAGGTATTTAATTTTCCTACGACATATTTTGATATTTATTGAGCATATTTGCATACATTTTGTAATGTTTTTAAGGTCATAAATATCTTAACCCTAATCATAGAAAAATAAATTAAAACCAGGAATATAATAAATACAGTATAATAAAATATCCTAGAATATATGCTAACAAACCATCTCCTCTCATAATTGTGTATTTTTGTAGGTATGTAATAATTTATGATTGAACTAAAATTTAACAMMTTTATAACAGTAATATGAGTTACACTTAACAACATCTAGGTATCCCCAAGCTTAAAAAAAATAAGAGGCTGGTGTATAGTACAATTTCATGTTTTTGTTTCCTCAACTATTTTGAAAACAAATAATTTATTCTCCTATAAAATATCTCATCATAGACAAAAAAAAACACTTTATTGTTAAGAAAATTAATTTATTGGTTCACACTCAAAATCTAAAACTTTAATTATCCTATCAATAAACAATGTGTATTAATATACATTGCATGTAATATGTTTATCTGTAAATATCTAGTAGTACAACCTATTAAGTCTATAAAATTCAAAATTGGGCATTAATACTTATACAGAGTAAATCACCAATAATGTTCACCCTCTTCTAATTCTTCAAAATTGCAATCATTCAAAATCTGATTTTAAGAATTTTTAAATAAGTAGGTAGGTTTTATCTAATTTTATCCTTAGAATTAATTTTTGAATTTCATACTTGTTTATATTAGATTGGTAGGTACTAAGGAGTATTCTGCATAGTTACTAACTTCTGTTTTTCAAATGACAACCCGTTAACCCCCAYTAAATACTTACCAACATTTTTTTCTGAAAATGTTGAATATCAAAATGTAATTAGAAAAAATAGTTTTAGAATTAATAAACTTTGTGTATACTGTRAGCAYGAACCATAAACATAAGAAAAAAATTAGTTTTAGACAGAGAAATAATCATGTACTTAACATGCACAGACAAACAATATAAAGATAATAAGTATATGACAATAAATTTGAAAGATATGGGGTCTATGATAATTTGAAAACATTAGTGTGTGTTCTAAATATTTCTCACCCTTTTCACGACTATAATTCTATTAGTTCATCCTTAAATGTTTCTATTCTTTCCTCTCATCGTTTTGATGCAGACATCCACTYTATCTCATCTTTACTTAATGGCTCTATGGATGCCCCCGATTCTACTTTCTTCCATTTCTTTTYGTATTCCTGTCTATCCAACCAGAAACCACTCCCTACATTACATCCCCTCTCACCATACAAACTACAACCACAACCATCCTATACATAGAATGCTCCACCTCCTAAAACTGCATTTCATTTTGTACAAAATTATATTTCTTTGTATCTTAGTTTTATTGCCACGTTAAAAATTAGAATGCTGTTAACTTCATAGCTATTTTTTAATTATGTTAATTATTAAGTTATTATTATGTTAAATTTAATATACTATCTATGTTACCTCCGATGTTACCTATCTA